TCACCCCTTCCTCTTCTCATCGAAGACATGCGATGCAGTACTAAACAGTCTCTCGCTGTCGGTGCTTGTAATGATTTTTGCGTCTTTCTCGGACAGTTTAAATGCTTCCACACTGCTGACATGTTTTTTGCATTATAAAGAGTGCGCACTCACTTTACACTGGTTGCTATTTGATAGCGTCACATTGTTCGGTACAATTTATTCGGTCTTTTCACTTATTCGGCCGAACACCGAAATACTTTTTTTTTTTGCTATTTTCGACTGAATAATTCCGGTTGCCGAACATTCGGTGCATCTTACAGTATGTAAAATGGGGTGAATGAAATTTGTTGAACATTTCTGCTAATGAATAGAGAGAATGTTCCCCTCTCGTGTGTCTGACCTGTTGTTACAGGTATGTTAGCCTGGATGTGGGGATGCATTATTAATTAATTTGTTAAAAGAGTGTTCCCCTTGTGTCTGACCCAATAATGTGTTTTTTTTTACTTTAAACCGCATAAACACATTTCATTACACCAAATACACAAAATAATGTTCTTTTTAGCAGCATCATATGACCCCTTTAAATAATTTGTTAAAAGAGTGTTCCCCTTGTGTGTCTGACCCAGTCACTGGTCTGACCTGCCCTGTTATTGTTACAGGAATAAATGGTTAATGAGTAAACCTGCCAAGTCTTTTTTATACAAGGAGTTTTCATCTATATAGCTGACTTGACCTAGTCTGCTACAGTGGCATAACAGATTAACAGCAGAGTATATAATTGTACTTTCTGAATTTTCTGTTATTCTGTGTTCATACTATCATATTTGGAAAGGTGGTCCTCGGAATGTTTTTAAACAGTCATTGGTGGGCCATGAGTTGCAAAAGGTTGAGAACCCCTGTGGTTAGACAAAACATTCAAACAGTTAAAACTGTATAAACAACAGAAATTAAAGTCTTACAACAGTAACGTTTGCTAACATTTGACTAATGTTGTCCAACCAAGCAGATTTTCCTCTCAGAGACGTATGTGTGGTGAAAGTGTTTACACAGCTCTCGCAGTAGCCATAGCTGTGGTGGTAGTGTTTACACACATAAAGGTTAAGACAATAATGAAGCAGACAGTGGAGGCAGCCAGCTCTTACCGGACTCTCTTAAAATGGAGTGTGCTACAAAGTCTGCCTGTCTTAGCGTGCTGAGTACACCAGTGGTCAGGAAGGTGGGCGTGATGTCAGTGGGCGGCTCCTTTACGTGTGATCCGAAAACGTAAACAACTCTGAAAAGGAGCAGATGAGCAAGGAATGAAAAAAAGAAAAACCTTTATTTACATTAGAGACCAAAAAAGACACATATTAAAGGACTACCTGACACCTGATATGACAATTGTTGTACACTACTGTTCAAAAGTTTGGGGTCGGTAAGATTTTAAAATTTTTTGAAAGTCTTTTTTTTTTTTTTTTACCAAAAATATATTTTAAAGGAGACATCGGATGCCCATTTTCCACAAGTTGGTATGATTCTTTAGGGTCTTCACGAACTGTCTACAACATACTTTGGTTAAAATTCCTCAGTGGTCGTGTAAAACAACACCCTTTTATCCTTGTCAAAAACAGCTCTATACACAGCGACTCGTTTCGGTGCATTATGAATAAAAGGGAACTGACTCTCTTCAAAAATCAAAGTTTTGTTTATATTTTTCATGTTATCTCCGTGTAATGCCTAATAAAACAGTGTTTATAAGCGCAGCGCTGCTTTGTTTCCACCCACTGTCAGAGAGTGAATGTGCATTTTCATTCATCCTGCTGGTTTTGTTGCCGTCAATGTTGTAAATTTCAACCGTTTGGTGGAAAATAAGATCAATTCGGATAATATAGATATCTAGGATTATTTGACTGTTAGATTCATAGTTTATGTATTTCAAATGGATTCCACATACAGACACTGTTTTTGACTGTGTTCTGAGGGTTTCTTTTAGACTAGTCGGTTACGAAATTTCTGTTTAAACAGCAGTGAAATTAGTCATAGCACAAATCCCTAGTAAGTCCTCTTTGCCACAGCTCTCAAATCTCATTTGCAATGGCATTTAGCATCAATCAATGACATCGAACCTGATGTGCCACGTCTAAACAAATAATTTTTAATTAAACAAGCACAAGACGTTTGAGAGGGTCTGTCTAACGGGGACTATTATCAGTGAATTATCCCATAGTTCCTCACATGGTTGGTGGGAAGAGGGCTGGAGCAAAAAGTCAACCTGATGACATTACCTGTTGATGGAGTGACAGATCCGAGGGATGAGTCTGGCCAGGAACATCAGTGAATCCCAGTGTGGGGCCTCTTTACTGCTCACCCCACAAACATAACTGTATGACCGGGAGTCACCCTGTACAGACAAATCATATGGAATCAGAGTTAGAACATATTCAACTCTCCAACTGCATCTAAAAAGATTAATTTTAAACATTTGTGCAGAATGATTACATTCTTACTTTGGAGAAGACACCAACTGTTAAACTATCAACCATTAACAGCAACAGATCTTAACCATATGCAAAAATACAGTGCACGGTATTTAAAACTTTTTGTCACCCAGCGTGTCAGCATGTCCCAGCTCAGAGTCTAGAGACCGTGGTAATTTTAGCACAGTGTGGTATAGCAGCAAGCCGTCTGTTAGAGGAACACCCAGCCATGCATCATCAACCAATGTGGTGAGACGCTGAGTGCCTCTGTCTGGACGTGTTCTATCTAATGGCTTCATCTCACAGAAGTAAACCAGCCTCTCTGGCACTATGACTGAAAACCAAACATCAAGACCTGCACACAGCAGCAGAGGAACGATCACTCTATATACAGACTGTACTGCACTGCCAGTACTGCTCTATGACATTTTCATTTTCCAAATAACATCAAATGAAACAAAGCAATAGAGAGGGAATAAGCAACACTGTGTGTGTTTCAATGGAACTGCAGGTTCGAAGGGATAACCACACAAATTTAGACACAGGAAAATGTCGTCAGACAATGATTGGTGCTACACAGCCAGACAGGTTGTTCTGTGTTCCAGACGGAAGAGTTTGTCACTTTGGAGACAGTATAAATTGCACCTCAAACAAATGAATAGTCACAGTAACCACTGTTATTTTAGTATTATTTATATACTTTTATAGTATATATTAACATTTTAAAGCTTGTTCTCAAGACACTGGGGATGCTAAATTGCAAAGGGATTTTGCAGGGGCCGAGGCCATGTTGGGATGCTTTAGAGAAGAGGAAGAGTTGTTGTAGTAGAGTGTTCTTGCCATACTACCGAAACGCTGCTACTTTCACCCCGATTGCAAGTCCTCTTTGTTGGTTAAAATTAAAAATGGTTAAAATTTATTTTCAACCCTGCTCCTGAAAATTATAATACCAATATAGCTCTCTGTGCTACACATTTTACGAAGGACAGCATCTTCAATCTACGCAAGTTCAATGCCGGTACATTAGATTTTGTTAATTAGCATACACTTATTTTTTCAAATTAAATAATTACTTTACAAAAATGCTACAACGCAATCATGTATTGTGTTGTACTAAAGCTTTAATCAGGAAAAAAACAAAGTGCATTGTCCAAACACCTAATAACTTTTTACATATGGAGAACAAGTCATTCTGAGGAAACATGCTTAGTTTCATGCATTTCTGATACTCTGGGGCCAAACAGCAAATTAAAAGCTATCAGACATTTCAGCTGACAGATGAAGAGTGTAATACTAAGGTTGTCCCACTAGAATCATAGGATAAGAAATATTTTAAGCCAAATCTTTCTCCTGTCTGTTTCCATCCCTTAGAATGACAAATAAATGCACAGAATCATTTGAAATGTACTGTATTGTCAATATAGTTTTATATAATTATTTTATAGCCTAAATGCTTACAGATTAGTGTTGGGCGATATGCTCCACAGTCATATCGTCCTATCGTCAACCTGTGAGATCGCTGATACATTATATTATCATGCTAATTCATTTAATTATTTACTTACTTTATCATAGAAATAATTAATTTAATTATTTACTCACTTTATCATAGTAAATCATTTAATTATTTACTTAGATTCATAGCCGGAGAGTGAACCATCTCCAGGGTAAGGCTAAAAGCAGCCTAATGTTAGTGTAAACTATTAACTATACGTTATCTTTTTAGCCAAGTAGCATCTGGATGTCATATCATAAAATATTTTATTTTTACTGAATTTGTATTTAACATGATAACAATTTAATAGAAACATTGTAAGTTACTAATTCAAATGCTTACATTTCCTCAGTTATTCAAACAGCAGCTACAGAAAACGAGCAAAGAACATTTACTTTATCAAAGAACATCACTGACTTCAGTCTAGCGTGAGTTTATGCACTTAAAAAAAAAACACTCCCGTTATAATTAGTGAAGTTTTCTATACTGTATGATGAATAAATCTTTTATGCTTACATCGTACGTACATCTGCACTTTGTTGTTTATGATGAGAGAATTTGTGAGGGAGCAGAATGCAGCCAGGGAGTGCGCGCACTTAATGACTAAACTCCGGTGTTTCAGCGATTACTCATCTTAACGCCTCTGATTGGCCATTGCATTCATAAACTCAACACAATCGTGTGTGATTGCTTATAATGCACAACGCTGTAAAACGCAGAAAATGAAATATGATGGAACAAATAAGCCCTAATATTAATTAGATAATAATACTAGCCTGATTTGTCTTGCTATCATCAAAGGCATCAGCCACAGGCAATATCTCAGACTATTGTCAATACATGATACTATCGTCTATCAGCACAACCCTATTATAGTTCATTAAAATCATTTAAAAATGTAGCTCCACCCACGGTACACTTCCAGGAGCTCGACTGTTTTCAGAGAGAAGCATAAAGCAGTATCTCTCTTTTATAAATCTGATAAAACTAAAGACTCTTCTGGGATATGAAGGATGCAATACTACTCTATAGGTATTCAAGATTAACATGAGGTTAGCAGAAACCGTGTGTGTTATCTCCTCTTTAATAGTTTTAGTTTAAAGGGGTCATATGATGCGATTTAAATTTTTCCTTTCTCTTTGGAGTGTTACAAGCTCTTGGTGCATAAAGAAGATCTGTAAAGTTGCAAAGACTAAAGTCTCAAATCCAAAGAGATATTCTTTATAAAAGTTAAGAGTCAGCCACGCCTACCTAAAACGGCTGGTTCTAACACGCCCCCACATGTCTACATCACGATGTGGGAAGATTGCATAACGCCGCCCAAATGTTCAAGCAAAGAAAGAAGGCGTAACTTTTATTCTAACTGTAGTATTGTTGCCGCTGCCGCCATGTCCTGAAGACGCTGTGTGCTTCGTTGTGAAAGCGAAACTACTTTGTTTGGCCTTCCAAAAGAGGACAATATCCGCTTCGTCATGCCTGGAGCTGATCCGTGCTAGTCGCTGAGGAAATACATCAACTTCGCGCTGTGGATCGCCGGATCGGCTTTCACCGTGGACGAAGCGGAGTCCAGCCCGGAGTCGTCGCATGTCCTTCCGGACGCTCCTTCGTCGAAATCGCCGGCCGCGCCGTTCTCAAGCCCGCCGCCTCTGCTCACTCTAGGCCGTTGTGTGTGATGCTGTGTTTCGTTGTGAAAGCGAAACTACTTTGTTTGGCCTTCCAAAAATGGACACGACTAGAAATCAGTGGTTAAGTTGTATTTACAACACTGTTCCAGAACACTTCAACCCAAATATTCAGATGTGTGCAGCACATTTTATGAGGACTGTTTCCTGATCCTGGGAGAGTAGACTACAATGCCTGCTGTTCTGACTCACAGACTGTAAGTACGTTTTTTATATTTAAAGATTTTTTATATTTTTTATATTTAAAGCGAGTTTTTTGGGTAGTGTAGAGTAGGGCTTGTTGTTTGTCATTTCTCTGATCACAAATGCAGACAGGGTTTTATGTTTACGCGGGGCGATGCAATGCAACGCAACGCGTGAAAAGACAGTATAAGTCATTATAATCCATAATTATGTCCCCACTGGATGCAACGAATGCCCTGTTCATAATGGGTTTTCATGTTTTTGAATCATCGCTCTGGCCTGACAGGGCATCATCACAATATGGTAAGGGACGTAACATTTCCGTCTCACGCTTGAGGTATTCGGCCAATCACAACGCACTGGATAGCTGGCCAATCACAGCATACCTCGCTTTTTTAGAACGATGAGCTTTGTAAAAATCGACGCGTTTCAGAAAGGCGGGGCATAGAGGAGAAACAATAATGTACAGTATGTGGAAAATAATGTGTTTTTTGAACCTTAAACCGCATAAACATTTCATTACACCAAATACACAAAATAATGTTCTTTTTAGCAGCATCATATGACCCCTTTAAGTTTTAGATCATAACACTGACACTAACAACAATTAAAATGGCAGCTGAGGGGAAAGAACACATACCTGGTAATTATTAGTTTTCCAAATAGGTTTCCCAAACTCTCACATTATGCCTTATAACAAATATGTTAAAAATCATGTACTCAGATAAATTAAGAATTGAGGCAAAATAGTAACCTAATAAAATAAGTTTTATTTTACACTGAAAGGGCTGCCTCATTGGGGGCCAATATGTTGAGCTCACATGACATTCCAAATACTATTCACTTTATCATAGTAACTCGGTTATTGGACACTTTTGCATGTGGAATAAATTAATTAGGGCTGACTACTGAGTGCATTTCTACAATGGCATCTGCAACTGAAAACTATGTGTCAGCATAAGACCAAGGCCATTGGAACAAACCAAAAAATTCTGAGCAAGTCATTCATATGCTCACATTATAAATGTGCCTGAATGTGACGTGAAAGTAATGGCAGATGACAATGCTTACCTGGACACCGACAGTTTTAATTGGCAGCAGAAAAGCATTCAGTGAATGAAGGCTGGTGATCTGCATGAGTTTCTCTTCCTCCTCATCTGATATGCATGACTTCACTCTCTGAAGAAGGGTGTGTGGCTGAATGGATTGACATCAAAGGATTGAGATTTTATAACATGCCATATATAACCCAGAGGGGACTCTGGAATGAATGTGTGCTTTCAAGTACCCACTTTCAACTTAATCAGCAAACTTATAGATTTTTAAGTTGAAGGTCAATTATTTAAGGTCAGTGTCAATAATTCAGCCAAGAAATAAGCAATTTTTAAACTCTCGCGCGCACACACACACACACCTTTTTGACACTGGCAGAGAAGTCTGTGATGATTTTCAGGACGTTGTTGGTCTCGGCGAAGTCTTTACAGATGTAAGGCTCATCAGCGCAGATCACTCTGATGGCAAGGCCTGGACCTACAACATACAATACACACAGTTTCAACAAAGGCCACACAAAGTCATTAATATTCACATGTGCATCATACATTCAAAACATGCACTACCGTTCAAAAGTGGTCTGTGCGGTTTTTTTTGTTTGTATTTTTAAGTTTTTAAAGAAAGTCTCATCAAGGCTGCATAAAGCGAAATTGTCAGCAGCCACATGATCCTTCAGAAATTATTCTAATATGCTCTAATATACTTGTGCTGCTATAGTATATTTATGTGGAAACTATGAATCATTTCTTTTAGGATTTTTGATGAATAGAAAGTTCAAAAGAACAGCATTATTTTAAAATAGAAATATTTTGTTTACCGTCACTTAATCAATTTAATGCATTGTTTCTGAATAAGAAGCATTAATTTCTTTAGAACTTTTGACCCGTAGTGTAAGATCATTGTACACTCAAAAAGAAACTCTTTGGCTGAACATGATTCAATCGTGGACAGTGGTTCAAAATCACATAGTTAACCATAACTCTAACAATTTATAGCAAATTTGTTGAAGGCACACACAAAATATACTACCCAACAACTCATGCCATTTATTTGAACTAATTATTAATGAAAGTAAACCGAATTACTTTTTTAATTAAGCAGAAACCGGGATTTTAATGTTTCTGATGGTCTTACCAGGGAAGGGATGTCGGGAGACGATCTCTTCAGGGAGCCCCAGCTCTCGACCTAGTGCTCTCACTTCGTCCTTATGGAAATCCTTCAGTGGTTCGATTACTTTACCCTGAAGGGCAAGGCATTCAGAAGAACCAGCAAACAACTGTTAGGATCAAACCATAATTGAGTTCCTCTAACTTGAGGAAACTCCCTATTGTGTGCCTCTATTCTGGCACACCGCAGGGGGCCCCGAATATACTACAGCCAAATGTATTAAAACCACTTTCCCTGCTTCAGTTAACCAATGTTCACAAAAGAATCTGCCAAAATGCATACATATAGAAAAATTAGAATTTTTAGTCTTTTATATAGATAAAGTAAAGAGTTATGGGACTATAATGACAGGTTAGACTTGTATTAGGACATGTTGCAAGCAGGACTCAAACCTGCATCATCCATGCTGGCACCATGACTTAACAAGTTTGGTTGATGTTAATCTTTACCTCGTCTCTGAGTTTGCGGATAAGTTCTGTGTCGTTGTGGTGTGTTTTGATAACTTCTGCCTTCCCGCTAGCCAGGTGAGACGCACTCTCAATAAGGTCTGGCCTGAGCGTGCCTTGCGCCAAGAACACATCCTCTGGCTTCAGATTCATCTCTCCGATCACTTCATTTGCAACCTAAGAAAGACAGCAAATTAGAGCCTCACTGTTCTGCTCCATATTTAAGAGACTTTAATGCATCATAATAGGTTTATTCCACAGGCTAAGTATTGTTTGATGTGTACACAAGACATTTTAGGCGAATCAATACTGAAGTCGATAGTTCCCCTCACTAACATCATTACAGGACCATGATAATAATGACATCATCAGTTACTGGTCGAAAAACAGGGTGAGGGCACAGTCAACTACAAACTAGAGCTACACACTTTTACAAACGTATCCCCAATGATTTTCCGTTTCTCTTCAGGATTGGTGGTCATGTTAAGCGTTTTGCTGATGCGTTTCCTGGGTGTGCGATCCTCTTCTGATATTGGAAGGGTCGTTGTGCCGTTGTAAAAGGTGTGCGCTGCGTTTACCACTGTAAAGCAGGGACAGTGACGTTTTAGTCTCAACACTGAAGTGTGTTTTACTTGATATTGACACAATATATAAAGTTACATAAACTTTAAAGGGACAGTTCAGCCAGAAATTAAAAATTGCTGTTAATTTACTCACATTCAAGCCATCCAAGATATAGGTGACTGTTTTTCTTCAGTAGAACAGTAAATAAGATTTTTAACAGAAACCATGGTCCTTGTTGATTCATAAAATGCAAGTCAATGGCTACCGTCACTTTGAGAGTCAAAAAAAGTATATCAGGCAACACAAAATGTATACCCGTTGCACCTGACAATATACCTGAAACATTCTTCTGAACCGGTTATTTTTAGTGACCTGGATGAACCAGTTCATCATATCGGACTGAACCGTCTAAAACAGATCGCGGCTCAAGCAGCACAAATCTACAAGTTATTTAGTCACCTTTATTTATATAGCGCTTAATACAATACAGATTGTGTCATTCAATCAAAACTTACTCCTTACAGTCACTGCAACTTGAAATGAGCCAATATTCCGGCGTATATGATCTTATATGCTGGTTTTTGCTAACTCATTGAGCACTCAAGTTACTCCAATAGCACACTGAACTGTGCATGCCTGAATCGAGCATTTGAATGAAGGGGCGAAATCAAAGTTTTTATGGTATGTAAAAAGGTTAATTAAGATTAGTTTATTCACTTAATATACTTTAGACATGTAAAACATCAACATTTTACATCATTATTGGGTGCTATATTAATATACTTGCATATACGTTGCATCATCATTTGAACCAATGCATTGAAACAAACTATCCGAAAGAACCAGTTTGCGGAGAAGAATCAGACTTCCTCATTTGCCTGAGGCTGTGGATTAGATAATAATGTTATAAATAAATTTCAGTTTCTTGCACAGATTGATTGTTTCGCTTCCTTAAACATCTATATAGCATCAGGAGCCACAGGTATTAATTTTGTGTTGCCGGATATGCTTTTTCGACTCTCAAAGTGACGGTAGCCATTGACTTGCAGTTTACGAATCACCAAGGACCACGGTTTCAGTTAAAAATCTTCTTTACTGTTCTACTGAAAAAAAAAAAAAAAAGTCAACTACATCTTGGTAAATTAACAGCACATTTTCATTTTTGGGTGAACAATCCCTTTAATATTAGTAATAAATGATAATGCATACATAAACTTTAATGAAAGAAAGAAAAAAAAAACTATTTTTTTAATAAAAGGTAATAAATTCTACATAAATAAATAAATAGTTTATGCTAAACTATTTCATTGATTGAAAAGATCCTTCTGAATGTTACCTTTGAGTTTGATGCCGAGTTTAGTCAATGCTAAAAAAAGTATATCAGGCAACACAAAATGTATACCCGTTGCACCTGACAATATACCTGAAACATTCTTCTGAACCGGTTATTTTTAGTGACCTGGATGAACCAGTTCATCATATCGGACTGAACCGTCTAAAACAGATCGCGGCTCAAGCAGCACAAATCTACAAGTTATTTAGTCACCTTTATTTATATAGCGCTTAATACAATACAGATTGTGTCATTCAATCAAAACTTACTCCTTACAGTCACTGCAACTTGAAATGAGCCAATATTCCGGCGTATATGATCTTATATGCTGGTTTTTGCTAACTCATTGAGCACTCAAGTTACTCCAATAGCACACTGAACTGTGCATGCCTGAATCGAGCATTTGAATGAAGGGGCGAAATCAAAGTTTTTATGGTATGTAAAAAGGTTAATTAAGATTAGTTTATTCACTTAATATACTTTAGACATGTAAAACATCAACATTTTACATCATTATTGGGTGCTATATTAATATACTTGCATATACGTTGCATCATCATTTGAACCAATGCATTGAAACAAACTATCCGAAAGAACCAGTTTGCGGAGAAGAATCAGACTTCCTCATTTGCCTGAGGCTGTGGATTAGATAATAATGTTATAAATAAATTTCAGTTTCTTGCACAGATTGATTGTTTCGCTTCCTTAAACATCTATATAGCATCAGGAGCCACAGGTATTAATTTTGTGTTGCCGGATATGCTTTTTCGACTCTCAAAGTGACGGTAGCCATTGACTTGCAGTTTACGAATCACCAAGGACCACGGTTTCAGTTAAAAATCTTCTTTACTGTTCTACTGAAAAAAAAAAAAAAAAAGTCAACTACATCTTGGTAAATTAACAGCACATTTTCATTTTTGGGTGAACAATCCCTTTAATATTAGTAATAAATGATAATGCATACATAAACTTTAATGAAAGAAAGAAAAAAAAAACTATTTTTTTAATAAAAGGTAATAAATTCTACATAAATAAATAAATAGTTTATGCTAAACTATTTCATTGATTGAAAAGATCCTTCTGAATGTTACCTTTGAGTTTGATGCCGAGTTTAGTCAATGCTTCCTCAACACTCTGACTCTCTCTCTTTCTCATGAAGCCGTTGTCGATGTGAACAGCAATCACTTGCTCCTGATTTAGGGCTTTATTCAGCAGGGCTGTGCACACAGTGGAATCTACACCACCACTCAATAACACCTGCACACACATAAACATACACAGAGATCCTGACTCACCCTGGATTGTAACTGTAAACAAGACATCCAATAAACCCAAATGTTCAAATACACCGAATAAACAGTACACCAGAGAGAAATCTGGGGGAAATACACAGATAATATTACTATAATATTGTGCTCATTAATGGATTAAAAATCCAATATAATGCTCAGTTCATGCGCTAGAGAGAAGACCCACTTTGCAGAAGCTCAGGGAGGAAATCACCTTGCTTTAGGAAAGAGCACTTTCTAATTGGAATTTTTAATTAGTTGCCACACACACACACTCACACACACCTGCCCAAGCACTGCCTGAAGCAACAGCAATTAAGAATTAGACAAATTAGAGTTGTAATCACATATGTGCCTTCAACCAAACAAAAGGCCCTTCATAGATCAAGGAGGCCCACATTAACAGTAACATCCACCACACACATGCATGCATATGCTAACCAATTAAATCTAAGCTTTACTAAATAGCAATCTCTTAATTATTATAATTAGAGAATGATTGAGAATGATGTGCCACTAGAACAGTGCTATTTTAGTATTATGTACCATTATAGGCCTAGTATTTAACATTTTGAATTAGCTTTTAGTTTTATATTTTCAGTTTTTATTTACATTTTAATTTAGTCATTTTGTTTCATTTGATCGTTTTAAATGGCAGGTTGAAGGGGTTTACGGTACTCACCAGAACTTTGGATTTGTCCACCTTCTCTCTGATCTCACTGATGCAGTTCAGCTGACGGTTCTGTACTGTAAAGTTGCTGCTACAGCCAGCAATCTCAAACAGGAAGTTGCGTAGCATGTCCATCCCCCTCTCAGTCAGATCGACCTCTGGATGAAACTGAGTGCCGTAAAGTTTCTTCTGCTCATTAGCAATGGCTAAGACAGAGATGAAGACGGGAAATGTCTTAAACCACAAACACCCACAACCATGACAAAAAATCTAGCATCAGAAACACTTTTTTTTTTTTTTTTGATACAATGCATGTCTAGGAAATATTCTTCAGGTTCGCCTACTCACCGGCGACAATGTTTCCTGACTGTGCAACAACTTTGAAACCATCTGCTACTTTGTCAACACTGTCTCCATGTGTCAGCAGAACATGCTCCTCCTTTTGCAGCCCCCTTGAAACACACAAAAGGGTTTCATCACAAGAAAACTATTAACTACTTTAAAAATCTATAAATGTGAAAAAAAAACTGACATAATAAAGGGAAAAAAAAACATTGTGCTATCTGACATACTAAAGGGACTTTTACCTGAAGAGCGAGCAGGAATTGTCCAACGCAATGCTGAAAACACCGTCCTCCCTCACACTCTTCCTGTGTACTGTGCCTCCAAAAACTTTATTCATCATCTGGTGAACACAAAAAATAAATAAATAAATAAATAAATGCTGTTCTTTTGAATGTTCTAATTATCAAACAATCCTGAAAAAAAAACGTACCACAGTTTCCACAAAAAATATAAAAGTTTTGTAAGTAATAATTACATTTCAAAATATATTGAAATAGACCATTTATTTTAAATTGTAATAAACAATATTTCTGATTTACTGTATTTTTGATCAAATAAATGCAGCCTTGGGGAGCATAAAAGACTTCTTAAAGATTTTTTTTTTTTTTTTAATCATGCCAACCTCAAACGTTTGATTGGTACTGTATATTATCAATCTGATTTATGATGATTATGATTATTATTACATAATAATTATTAATAATTATTGTCATTGCTAATTCACTTCTCACCTGCATTCCATAGCAGATACCAAGAACTGGTTTTCCGATGGTGAATATGGCTGGATCAAACCAGGGTGCATCTTCAGCATAGACAGAGTTTGGCCCTCCGGATATAATAATGGCCCTTACATTGGAGACAATAATTTGATATACACATTATAAACCAATTTACATTAACCAAAACATAATTTCAAAAATCTCAAGCAGCTGAGAAAAATGGAAAGAGTCTGTCTGTCTGTTGAATCACCGAGACTAGGCAAGTTCTAATGCAAAGGCCAGATCATCTAAGCCACTTATCTTATCAGCCACATTCCGTCTCTCAATGTTCACAGCTTCGGGAAAACACAACATCTTTGTTTCCTTTTATGTCCTCACAGGTGGAATGCACAGCACTCACACCGTGTTCTCTCAAGGACAGACCAACTAACAAAATAAACCAATATGACTGTTTATCTTCAGCAACTGGTGCATTACAAATTTCTAGAATAGTTGCAGGTCTTAAAAGAGAAGCTGGGTGATTGTAACTGTACAATAACAAAATTTGTTTGCAGTCCTCAATAACGCATTCAACCAAACTTTTAAACATAGAAAAATGTCTTTAACTTGGAAAATACAATGACTGCGTGAATTTTATCAGAAGTGTACACAGTCTTCATTAACAACACCTAAAGTACACAACGACTCCAATAAAACCTGATCACAATAAATTACAAGCTTTAGGCTTTGCTGCACCGCACAACTGCTGTTTGATAAGATCCAACTTGTGGGTTATTCTGTCCTTCTATCAGCCACATTCCGTCTCTCAATGTTCACAGCTTCGGGAAAACACAACAGCTTTGTTTCCTTTTATGTCCTCACAGGTGGAATGCACAGCACTCACACCGTGTTCTCTCAAGGACAGACCAACTAACAAAATAAACCAATATGACTGTTTATCTTCAGCAACTGGTGCATTACAAATTTCTAGAATAGTTGCAGGTCTTAAAAGAGAAGCTGGGTGATTGTAACTGTACAATAACAAAATTTGTTTGCAGTCCTCAATAACGCATTCAACCAAACTTTTAAACATAGAAAAATGTCTTTAACTTGGAAAATACAATGACTGCGTGAATTTTATCAGAAGTGTACACAGTCTTCATTAACAACACCTAAAGTACACAACGACTCCAATAAAACCTGATCACAATAAATTACAAGCTTTAGGCTTTGCTGCACCGCACAACTGCTGTTTGATAAGACTTGAAATAGAATGGACAAAAACATACACCTATAGCTAACCATTCAACTTTTACGACCCAATAGCAGTGTGCTCCCCGTTAACCACAAGTTCAAAGTTTCAAACTAAGAAAATGAAGCCATGAAGCAAAACTACAAGCAATGAAGGTTAATCATTCTGATGTCTTCTGCTTTTAAAGGAAGAAGGCTTTTGATTCACAGAATGTTAGTTCAGTTACCACAGCCAATCGGTTACCATATCAGACATTTCTACTTTGCAATTCAATTAGGTTTCCCTGGTACTTTTTAACATGAGAACCAAACAGCATCTACTGCTACACCTATCTTGGCACCGATGGGCTCACCTGAAACCCTGCTCTCTGATGGCGAAGGCTGGCGTCTCCAAAGGCAGAATCTCAGACTGGACAAACAGCTCTCGTACCCGCCTGTCAATCACTTTCCCATACTGTGCTCCTGCGTCTAGGATCACCACGGCACCCTCGTAGGAACATAAACCATCTTTAGGCTCTCCGATGATATCCAGCTGCAGATACACACACACAAATAGCACAATGAAGAACACACATTACATCATTCCCCAAGCTAAGCAAGTAAAATGCTACTAATTAAATTTGTGATGCATTTAAAGGCGCATGTGTGCATGTGACTGGAGACTAAAGATGTGCTGCTTCTGATAAATCAGTCACATGAGTCACATATAGGCATATAGTGCATATAGGCCTAAGCATTACTGCCTGACCCTGCACACTGCGAATGAATGCACACACAAAAATGTTATGGACTCATTTCTAAAAATGTGTGATTATCAGGCAAGTTGATGGTTTTTTTAGGTTCTCTTTACACCTCTGCAAAATAGGGTGTATATACTTATATATTTATCAAGATGAGTAATTCCTGCACAAGGATCAAAATTGTATAAATTCACTTCAATTAAAAATATATATATGTTATATATTTTACACTTTATTATTATATGGTCTCAAAATAAGGAGTATAGTATATCAAGTATGACAAGATGAGCAATTCCAGCACAAGGATACAAACTTTTTAAATTCTAAAGAAAATGCTAACACAACACAATCAAAAATTGACGCTTGAGGGATGGACAGTATATACTTATACTAAACCATATATGGACACTATACTCTTGAGCAATTCTTGAACATCAATCATTACTTTTTAGATTCTAAATAAACTCCAAACACAAGATCAGCGAAGTAAAAATTGATCAGCCATTATACCAGTAAAGACAGAAAGTACATACTACAAAAGCATGCCTCTCTCACTATAGTTTATTAGTACGAAACGCTCCCACCTGGTTTGCGAGTGCACGAAAACAGCACTTTCTGACTGACTCCAGCACAGCAGCACGAACTCAAAACAGTAGAAAACGCCGGTAAACGGCGATTAAAGTTTTTATAATGAACACTTGAAAGAGTGCAAACATGGACCGGTAGTCATTTAATATGCAAAGATAAAACAAATAGCAAACATGGCCAATCTCCAGTATGAAAACGCACTGGCCTGTACACCAGTTACAGCTCATAATAGCATGTTAACACAAACCAGCTCAACTTTTCAGTTTGCCCTACTTAAATGTAAAAAAGGATACATATTTTTAGCTGCGTGAAACTCAACAGTGTTTCACGGGTGGCTGTTCATTTCAGCCACAGCTCCGAACCCTCATTAGCCACGGCAGCTCAGCTTGTCACATCGATTGTGGCTAACTAGCATTAGCTTGTGCGCGATAGCCCGGCTAACTGAACGCGCATGCTGCTATGTCTCAGGGCTGCTCGCGGGTGAGCCTCTGAGCTTCGCCCGGGGCGTGCAATGATCTCATACCACGACATCATCCAGGTGGAGTGCTGTAGGCATGGACAGACAGTACAAATTCACCATATTACCAAATATGCCTTAATAAAGGTACAACGATCAGGCACAGCAATACACCCCGGTTCCGCCGCGCGCTCTAAGTTTCCAGGCGCAGACAGGGCCGCGTGTGAACGGGAGTACCGGTGGCCAGTATCAGTGATAAGCACAAGGACGGGTAGAGCAGTTTGGGTTCTGTACATGCTTAGGCCGGTTTACTGACCTTGCTCTCCCCGTTGCACAGCGCCATGAATGTGTGATGTGGAGCGGACAGTCCTGTCTTGCCGTGTTTGTGTGGTAAGCGTGTTCTCAGCGGCTCCTCTCTCTTCCGTGTGATCGTTGACGGTGTCACCCACTCGCCTGCTGGCCGCTTACTACTACAGCAGCAGCTCCGCACCTCTGCCTGCTCGTGGTATGCGATTGCTGATAGGGAGGAGTTTGACGTTGAGACTCTGAGAAAAGTTTCTGTTGGCTGGGGGCCGCCGGTGGGCATGGGAATCCTAATAACGATTCTTTTAGTACTTTTGAAGAAGAAATATTTGGGGAAATATACCCGAATAAACTATGTTGATATCACTTCAGATTTGATCCGAACAGATATGACGAATAATAAATGCATTTAATAGGTTACAGTTAGGCTATTGCAGGTTGTGTTGAGACAGATTTCTGTACGTGTTTTTTCAAATACTTTTTTTATGGGTGGCATAAATGCAATGAAATTTGACCCCTAAATATATATATATATTAAATACAAATTAAAATGACTTTGTTTCTGTGGAACATAAAATTAGATATTTGGAAAAGTATCAGTGATTTTATTTAATTTTATTTATGTATTTATACATACATACAATGGATGTCAATGGTAAGAAAACTGTGTTAGTTTACACGCACATGTCTGGTCACATGCCTTTATTCAACATTTTCAGTCACATGCATTTCAACCTTTTTAATGATTCCACACCGCTTCACACACTGCACATACAGTCATTCATTATATCTGTAAAGAGGAGATGGGGGATGTCCTTTTTCACAGTGAAAGCATAAAATGGCTCATAAGAAAGAACACAAAGAGCACAAACAACACAGTGCTTTGTATTTTTAAAGATCAACATTAGTAATAGTACAACAACCAGGTGTCAAATAGCATATGAGCACTGATAAGTTACATTATATATGTGTGTATCATTAAAATAAGGAAAGAAGTTATGCTGAGCATAGACAACAAATTGCTTTCTTCCAGTTTTTCTCTCGGTTTCTTTTTCTTTCAATTTATGGCTGCTGTACTAATTACACACTGCATCTGTGGCCTTGTGTGAATGGGATAGCTATTTCGAGTTATGACTTTAGTTTGGTCTGGTGTTTAAAAGGTCATTACATTTTAATATGAGCCAGTAATATGTTTTGAGAAGCACCAGGAGGAAGACAGTGATTTATTTGTATTTCTTGCCCATGCAGACCAGTGATCCCTATATAGGCAATATGAATATTGAAAACTTCTCAATTTTCAGCTCATTATTTTACTTTGCCACACACACACACACACACACACACACACACACACACACAGGTTTGTTTTTGTGAAAAGTGGGGACATCCCATAGGCGTAATGGTTTTTATACTGTACAAACTGTATGTGCTATTGCCCTACACCAACCCTACCCCTAAACCTACCCCTCACAGGAAACTTTGTGCTATTTCAGATTTTCAATACACTCCATTCTGTGTGATTTATATGCGTTTTGAAAAGTGGGGACATGGGGTAATGTCCTGAAAAGTCACCTTCTCCTTGTAATACCTATGTCATACCCTTGTCATTATACAAATTTATGTCCTCATTTGTCACAAAAACGCGCACACACACACACACACACACAAACACACACACACACACACACACACATTTGATATAATATTTATACAATGGCTTGAATATTAACACTCCTATTATAATATATTGTAAAAAAAATTCTTACTGTTTGTATACACTACTGTTTAAAAGAGTGGGGTCAGTAAGATTTGATTGTATTCAGCAAAAATGCATTTTACTTTCTATTCATCCAAGAATCCTGAGGAAAAAAATGTATCACAGTTTCTACAAAAGTATAAGCTGCACAACTGTTTTCAACATTGATAATAAGATATGTTTCTTGACCAAATCAGCTTTGATATCACAGGATATATATATATATATATATATATATTGAAATAGAAAACAGTTCATGCAGTTAAATGCAACATAAGAAACTTCTCTCTAAAAATAAATAAATTCATAAACTTTTCAAAGTTGCATGGGCAGAATATATACTCTCTGTAAATTACATGAAACATGAAACTAAGCGGAACTAAAACAGGCGCTGTAAGACACGTCAGCTGAAGCATTCGGACACATTTTACTGACGCACCGCTCCGGCTTCCTTCTCATTTTAGCAGTCAGGTGTACTAACTGTGGTTCCCGGCGTCTTGACAAACTAGGTATATTGTATATTTATGCACATATATTTATGTCTCAGTAAGGTGCTGCTTATCTGAAGTCAAGGAACCGTGTGTTTTTTTCATTTTGTTCATTGATTCATTGATGTCTTGATTTGTCTTGTGGAATGTCATCATAGTGCAAGGTAACCATGAATCAGTCTTTTTTCTGCTTCTTTACCAACTCATGCTTATGTGGTTCTTTCGTTCGGAGTATGTTCGATAATCAAAATGTGTCGCATGATAAAGTCTCTGAGCTGATGTTATTTGTTTTGTTTACTCAGCTTTACGTGACAAGAATCAGAAGTAGTTAGCTATTTTTTATTAATCATTTATGTGTTTCGTTAATTGGTTTCATGTTCGAGAGGCTTCTCTGGAGTGGAATACACATTTTTTCCCCAGTCTTTATGGTTTTGGAATTGTATAGTAATACTGTTATAGTAAACTAAAACCATAAAAACATTTTTGGTATTTGAAACAAAACAAATGCTAACTGAAACAAGTTTTAAAACTATTTTTATGTTATGTTATGTTATCCTAAACTAACCTAACCTCGTTTCTCATTTTTATTTAGTACATTTATGTACTGAAATAATAGACTAAAACAGCAGTAAAAGTGAATGCATAGGCTATTAAGTAATTTAAAAAGAAAACAAAATCAAAAAAAAAAAAAATACTAATTCGATGTATTAATATAATAATAGTAATAGGATCTCAATGATACCAATATAACACTGCTTCCAATAACATGTTATGCAATTCACTTTTTTTGACAGACTCATTGGTGCAGCTGGTTTAATTATTTATTTATTTATTTATTTTACACACAGGTGTTTTGAGGACATATCTGGATTGATGCCCGGCAGGTTAAGATGGAACTGTCTGAATCTGTCACACACAAGAACGGGAGGCTGCGGAAGCCTGTGGTGTCCAACTCTGATATGGGTGAAAGAGAATCCAAGCTAGAAGTGGAGTGTGACGAGGAGGCTCTTCTACCAAACTCAGTCAGGGCTGATGGACAAGCGAAAGCGTGTCACGGGATCAAAGGAGAACTAGGCAATGTGGCCTTGTTATTGTTTTTGTATGTTCTTCAGGGCATTCCCTTAGGCTTGGCCGGGAGCATCCCTCTCATCATGCAGAGTAAGAACGTTAGCTACAAGGACCAGGCCTATTTTAGCTTCGTCTTTTGGCCCTTCAGTCTAAAGCTGTTCTGGGCTCCCCTGGTGGACTCGCTGTACCTGCGGCAGTTTGGCAGGAGGAAGTCGTGGCTGGTGCCCACTCAGTACCTGCTGGGTCTTTTTATGCTTTACCTGTCAGTCACGGTTGATGCAATGCTTCAGACAGATGGACAGAGTGGGCCAGATGTGATCGCACTGACCGCAGTCTTCTTCATGCTGGCTTTCCTCGCAGCCACGCAAGATATTGCCGTTGATGGCTGGGCTTTGACTATGCTGTCCAGGGAGAATGTGGGTTATGCTTCCACTTGTAACTCTGTGGGTCAGACGGCTGGATACTTCCTAGGAAATGTGTTGTTTCTGGCTCTGGAGTCTGCTGATTTCTGCAACAAGTATCTGAGGTTTGAGCCTCAGGAACGGGGCATTGTAACACTCTCAGGTATATTTTTACATTTTCAAATTATAATTTTTTAATGAATTAATATTTTTATTCAACCAGAATGCGTTAAAATGAACAAATGTGACAGTAAAATCTTTGTACATTGTTACAACACATTTTCATTTTAAATAAGTCTTGTTCTTTTGATCGTTCTGTTCATAAATGAATCCTGAAAGAAAAAAACGTTTCCACACCTTCCACAAAAATATGAAGCAGCACAACAATATTTAACATTAATAATAACAAGAAATATTTCTTGAGCACCAGATCAGCCTAATAGAATTATTTCTAGATGATCATGTGACACTGAAGAGTTCAGTAATGGCTGCTGAAAACTCAGCTTTGCAATCAGGAATAAATAATATTTTTTGAAAAAAAAAATTAAATAAACTAATTCCAACTAATTTTACAATATTAGAGTTTTTTTTACTTTTTATTTGAATGCAGCTTTGGTGGGCATAAGGCAAAAAACATGAAACATTTTATATTTGAGTATATACATATATATTTAGGGTACCTTAACTTACCTATTTTCATTCTGTTTTGTTCCCTTTCAGATTTCTTGTTTTTGTGGGGGATTGTGTTTATGGTATCTACCACTCTGGTTGCTATACTGAAAAAGGAAAACAACAGACACCATCATACTAAGAAGAAGCCTAAAGAGGAGACACAGAGTGTTATGGAGACCTACAAACTGTTGCTCTCCATAATTAAAATGCCCACTGTCTTTACCTTCTGTGTCCTATTGCTGACTGCTAAGGTAATGTTACTTAGCCGAGGCTTACTATGGTCATCTTCCTGTTTTAACTAGTTTGATTGCTGTAACTTTATAGCTATACGCAGATCAATCTAATTCATCCCTCTTCCTCTCTACTTTCAGATCGGTTTCTCTGCTGCGGATGCTGTGACTGGGTTGAAGCTAGTGGAAGCCGGGGTTCCTAAAGAGCAGCTGGCTCTACTGGCAGTTCCCATGGTGCCTCTGCAAATCTTGCTGCCTCTAGTTATTAGTAAATACACAGCTGGGCCACGTCCACTTGATGTTTTCTACAAAGCTTTCCCGTTCAGGTACAAACACACATGCCCTGATTCTAGACATTAAGAGCTGTGATGTACACATGAATTGACAGCCACATATGTAATCATTAGAGGGAATACATGCATTGGATAGAGTAATAGGATGCCTGTGGATTGTGTTCCTCAAAGGCTGCTGATTGGTCTGGAGTATGCCCTGCTGGTCTGGTGGACCCCAAGTGTTCGGCAGGAGGAGGGCTTTCCAGTGTATTACTATGCTGTTGTGCTGCTGAGCTATGCAGTACATCAGGTTAGTTTATATTTACTTGTGTGTGTGT